CCCCCCCTATATATTGTTCCTATAGTCGCCACTGGTGAAGCTGTATCAGTACCAGGGGCGGGCGGTCAGGGGAGGCAGTGCCTCACCTAGTATTATGAAGAAAAAAGGTGTCAGCTTCAAGTCTGAAGCTGACAGCTTTTTCTCCATTCAGATCAGCTTGTCCTCCCCGCTGTGTAAACTGTCATGGACGGAATTCTGTCTGTTAAACTTGGTGAGGCAAGAGCTGTCACAGCCTCTACTCTGAGTTAGATGTGTGAGCTCTGTGGATGGCTTGGCCAATTGTAAAGCGCCATTGGTCGAAGCTATCCAATCGAAGAAAAAAAACAGTGAGGACATCGATCTCAATGCCTCACCAGTAATTTACTGATTGTCCCGCAACTCTCCTCCCCTGACTTGGCCCTGTCCATGCTCTCTCCTTCCTTCTGGGTGCCGGCTGGTGGATCGGCTTTGTGTCCCCTCCGATCACTGCTGCCTCTGCTGATACAGGTGGGGGAGGGAAGCAGGGAGGGGAGAGCTACAAACACTGGGAGAAGATCCGCAGCGGTGGGTTGGAGCTCTCCCCAGCGCTGGGCACCAGCTTGAAGGGATCTGTTCATATGTACCCCTTGGTATGTACCCCTTCCTATGTACACTTTCATATGTACCCCTTCATATGTAAACCTTCATATGTGCCCCTTAAGGTCCATTTCACACGACAGTCCGATCAGATCCAGCTGTCAGTTTTTCAGGCAGATCTGATTGCAAGTCCAATGTAAGTTTATGGGCAGCTGGATATAGAGTAATGTATATCCATTTACATCAGATTACCTACAAGTTTGAATCCACAGGTCTGAATAAAAAAAAGACGGAAAAGAGTTCCCTTTTGGCACACCTGAACATGACAGATCGGAGGTAATTGGATGTAAACAGACACATGTCCACTTACATCCCACTGCCCACAGACCTAAAGGTGCCCATACACTGCACGATTATCGTACGATAATCGTATGCGATCGGTTTTTCGTACGATAATCGAGTAGTGTGAACGGAGACGTGCGACCGTTTCTACTGTACGGTCGCACGTCTTCTGTCGAACCAGCATGTTCGAAAACCAGCCGGGAATCGTACGATTCTCGGCTGGTTAGAACGGTGCTCGGAAGACAAATGCCGAGCGGGCCGGTGTGCGCACGCGCACACTGCCCGTTTAGCATTGCGGTCATCGGAAGCCCGCCCCTCAGGGGGGCGGGCTTGCGATGATCGAGAGTGCGATCTGCCTGTCCAAGATAGGCAGATCGTACGTTTTTTTAATCCCTGTACAACCATCGCAAGACTAAAGTCTTGCGATGGTTGTAGAGTGTATGGCCACCTTAACATATGTCCGTTTAGTTAAGTTTTTCCTTTATCACAAAATGGAGGCAGAAGCTGAACAGACACGGATTTCAAAAAAGTAACATCTGTTCCGTACTGTTTCGATCAGCAGGTTCGTGCTGATCAGAACGGATTATGCCCAAGTGAAAGGGGTCTTGGCCTCATGCACATGGCCCAAAAAAAATACAATGCAAAGCATTTTTTGTTTATGGATCTGTACAAAGATATATTGCTTTCAATGGAGCCACGCACACAGGTGTATAAACATGCTCGGCGTTCAAATCCGTGACACAAAATCAAAACATTTTACAAGGACATACCTTTTACATGAATACGCGTGTAAACGCATGCAAACACATATATAGTTCTGTTATGAGGGCTGAATAATTCCACAATAAAATCCCTAAAAAACTGTCCGCACACATTACAATGTGATTGTACAATCTCTTCCACAATAACCAAATGAATATAGTGCCTAGGGCTTGTCTGATTTTAGCTTGTCCTTTGCACTACATACTTTCTGCTAAAGCTCTAGGAGATTTTACAGAGATTGCACAATCAATTTTTTATGTGTGCGGACTGCTTAAAGTGCAACTTTAGTATTGAATATAAAAATTGCTGGCAGGGACCATTTATATCTCTTCTGCAATAAATGCTGCTCACCTGCCTGTTAGAAAAAGTTATTGGCATGCCTCACGGCCACTTCACGCCAATTACCGTGCGTTCCAGAGCGTTAGCTGTACTAAACTCCACCCTTCGTTCTGGGACAGGAGGGGTCGTGGCGGTGTATTGAAGTCATTGGCACCGCAGCCACGCCCCCCGCCCGCAGTTTGATCAGATGCGTGGCAAAACATTGCCTGCGTTCCGGTCCAGTACAATCGCAGAAAATGCTGCAAGTCCTATGTCACCTCAGGCTGGCCAATCAAGATGGCCAAAATGCTGAACCCAGAAGAAGACCGGGCAAAGATATCAGCGCTGAACAGGGAGCTCATGGTTGCAACATTGAGGGAAGCTAAGTCTCGTGGACAACTGTTCCACTTTAAATCTGGCTGTACACCTGTGTGTTGCGGTACCATGCGGTAAAATACATGTCAGCTCTAACTATGAGGATGAGCGAAAATCACTCACCTCATGGTCCTTCTTTAGGGCCGGCTCACACCACAAAGTCTGCATTCCAGTGTGTTCGGCCTCTGGAATGCACTGGAACGCAAGCCGGCCGGCTCCCTGCTTTCAGGGGCGGGAGGGGGTGTGGCGGTGCATTGAAGTCAATGGCACCACAGCTACGCCCCCGGCCTGCAGAGCGATTGACCACACCCGGAGCGCAGGCACATGTGTTCCGGTCCAGTGCCATCTGCAAAAAATAGTATACTGCCATCTGCAGTATTTTTGCAGATCACACTGGACCGGAATGCAGGAACCAATGATATTTGACTGGTGCATTTCAGAGGACGGGTTAATGTGTGGTGACAGCTCCGGTGATGTGCGTTGTATCACACACTGCCGGAGCTGTCACTATTTATACTCTTTTTTCAACTTTATGTGGAGTATACAATGTGTACACTCCATTCAGGTCCCCACATGGCAGCGTGGTGCAGTGTGCTGCCATGAGGCGGACTGCTGTGGCATGCATGCAGCACGTAGAATGCAGCATGTTTGCATTGTATCGCAGCACAGTGACCACTGCATTGTGAATGGAACACATAGAAAACAATTGTTTTCTACGTGTCCTTGTGGTGACCGGCAAAAATTCAGCTTGCATGTTCTCTCCCCAGGCAATGGTAGGAATCATACCTCTTTGTAAAAATCATACCAAACTTTGTAAAAATCTGAGATTCATGGTAAGTGACTTATAAGCACATGAGCGGTTACTGGACAACTGGATGAATTTTGTATATCGGGCAGGCTGGAAAACTCTTAAAAACGAACAAAAATCTATGCATTAGTGGCATTTTTATACAACAAAAATCACAAGATGAACACTGCACATGCGCAAACGAAAATCTGTTCTGACGATCAACTAAATTGGACCAATTAGTATTGCTGACAAACGATAATCGAAATCTGTATTGGTCTGCGCGATGTCGGAACAAAAGAAAGTGTATAATGGTTGTTAAAGGTGCCAACACACCTTACAATTATCTGCAGATTTTCTATGGTCAGATGGAAAAGGTGCAACAGATTCCTCCATCTACATTAAACTGTGTGGATGGAGGAATCTCCACCTGGGCCAATCTGTTGCACTTTTTCCATCTGACCACAGAAAATCTGCAGATAAATTGTAAGGTATATGGCCACATTAATTCTATCACATGATGAGCCTGAAGCTTTTCCTAAACAGGAGGAGGGAACATGGGGATCGTGAGTGCTATTACTCGCAGCTGGGGCTAGTAGAGGCCAGTTTAAATAGTGCTGTGCTGGGAGGAAAGGAAGTATTTCTCTTTTCAGAATGCAGTCTGCAGTGGTGCGAGGGTGCTTGGTGCTCAGTATCTGGCTGATCTCTGCTGTCCAGGCAGAAAAACGTGAGTGTATTTCTCTTATGATTAATGAGCTTATTTTTAAACTGTGCGTCTCCTTTGACATGTATGTTCTTACATACATGCACCAATGCCTTTATAACTAGTCCTGTTTGAAAAAGAAGAGGTATGCAATTCTGTAGTACATGTTATGGCTCTACATGTCCTAAAATGTAATATGATGGGTTGCACAAATACTGTTACTACAATGTCACCACTTTGCTGCTAATAACCTGTATGGGTTGCGCCTACTACAATGAGGTGCTGCAATGAGGCTTTTGGTACTGGTTGTCCTCATAGCTGTTGTACATCCTTTTTTGTTCTGAAGTATAGATCTCTATGTAGTGTAAGAGCTTGCCTGATTGGCTTCAGCTCATTGCTGCCACTTTTCACTCATTTGGAGTAACTTTTTGAAACCAAAATCCTCTGTCCTGCTTTCTTCTCCTTTTTTGTGGTCCCTCTTAGTCTGAAGTATAGACCTCCTTTTTAAATTTGAAGTATGAAGTTTTAAAAAACTTTCTCTAAAGCTGGTTTAGGTTTAAAGAATGATAGATGGATCTCCACATTCAAGTTTGGTCTTACTGGGAGCTTGTTGGGCTGTATTTGGCTCCATACTTTGTGTTAAAAGGTGTCCGTTTCAGAACGTTGGACATCTGCACAAGTTGAAGGCTTGTTTTTGATTGAAAAAGACTGTATAACCATTGTGTGTACAGTATGACCATCTTAATGGTGTTTGGCATCTATTCTACATCTGGTACTCGTTAACAATGCAGTTTTGGGCCTATGTGCCTCCTTTAACTGCTTGAAGACCAGGTGTTTACACCCCCTTCCCATCCAGGCCATTTTTCAGTTTTCAGCGCTGCGGTACTTTGACATTCTGTCATGCAACGCTGTACTGAAATGAATTTTCTACCATTTTTTTGGGGACAGACAGAGCTTTCTTTTGGTGGTATTTAATCGCCACTGCGGTTTTATTTTTTACTAGAATTAGGAAAAATTACTGAAAATTTTGAAGTTAGGAAAACTTTATTACCCAGTTTTTTTGTAAAATATAAAAGACGGGGTCACGTCGGGTAAATAGACACCAAAAATGTCACGCTTTAAAATTGCGCGAAATCGCAGAAAACTACCATACCCAAAATTGGCCGTAGGCGACGCTTTAAAAGCTTTTACCGCTCATCAGTTTAGTGTTATCAGTGATTTATGGCCCTAGAATGATTGCTCTCACTACGACGTTTGCGGCGATATGTAACATGTGCGGCGTAATGTGCGCAATAGTCGTTATCGCAGGTATGTGCCCTGATGTATGGGTGGGGACTTAAAAAAAAAAAATGTTTAACTTAATTTTTTTTTGGGGGGGGGGCTTTCATTTTTTTTTTTCACTAAACTTTATTGCTATCACATACGTGGGCTAATAAAACCCCCCTATGTGATAGCAAAATATGTGACAGGTCCTCTTTATGGAGACATCAGGGGTCTCCAAGACCCCTGTCACTCAGGACCCCCCCAAAAGAAGCTGATAAGCACAGATCTGCTCCATCAGCTTCTTTCCAGCTTCTGAAGCTGGAGAGAAGTTTTTTTTACAATGGCCTGCCTGGAGGTAGTTAAATAACCAAACCTGTATGATGTTGCTCTATATGACTTCACTACTATTTGAATAGGTATTCTTGAAGGCTCATTGTGGTACTTCTGTGGTCGCAGCACTCTGGAAGTGTATGAGGAACTTCTTTTTTTATGGAAAAGTGCTATAGGCAAGGCAGATTCCTTTTAGAACTTCAGGTAAAACCTTTTTGCACTTGGCATTTTGTGGCCAAACAGTTTAGTTTGTTTTGGCTTTTGTGGCTGCTTCTGGTTTTCAATTCCTGGGAATTAAAATTGTTCTGATTTTTTTTTTTTTAAGTTTTTTTTTTTTTTTTTTTTTGT